CCCCAAAACCCCAAAACCCCTGGTTAAAGAAATCTGAAAGAAAAAGAATAGAATTGAATAAAAAGTTATTTTTCATATATTTTTACAGAAAATTATTAATGGAAAGCAAATAGCTCAATGAGGAACTCACAGAAATCTAAAAATAATTAATAATTTACAAGAGATCCATATGCTCGATAATCACATTTAACCCACCTCAATATTTGTTATTAACTCGCATGAAAGAATCATTTATTGAATGATTAGACTATAGTTTGGACAATTTACAAATATTAAAAAACAGCGACTCAAAGGTTAACTTTTGCATTATATAATTTCTCTGTGGTTAACAAAACTAGCAATCTTGCCTCTATATAAGACTGCTATGTAAATCGTCTAAAGCAATTGCAGAGGCATATTTACTATCAGGCTACCTTAGTATTTTCAGAACATTCCCACCAATCCAGTTGTCTATCCCCTTGATTCAAAAAATACTTATAACTTACTAAAAAATAAGGCCATCTTAATCATAAGTGATAACATCCGTTATCAGTTTATAAGTAATAGCGTAGCAAACACCCAATAGATCACTTACGATGCTTAATAATCTTTTAATGAATGCTATCCTAAATAATAACAGATCACTAATAAAATACTCCCTCAAGAATTTTATAAGATTTATGAGGACATCAAAGCAGTATAAGGAATTCATGGGATTCAAGAAACATCTAGAGCTCACAGTAATAAGAGAGCTCCTCACCTAGTTCTAACTCATAGAATATGCAGTCTAGGTAAATAACACTGACTTATTTATGTTTCTTCTTAAAGAGTTCAGAGTCAGTTATAAAGATCAAATTTTCTAGAATATTGAAAAGACTAAGCGAATGTTCACTATAGTTAATAGAAATGGGAACATCTAAATTTTGAAAGAAATATACAAGCTGTATACTAAATAGTATCAAGACTACTTATTAATCCATGCAGAGAAATACAATAATACAAATTAACTCTAATAAAATATCTTTGTCGTTTCTGCGCTCATGAATAACCTTAGATGCCTTGAATATAATCTAAACTTGATAGAAAAATTAAAGGGGGTAAAGTGGATAAAATAGAAAATGCTATTTATCCCTACACTCTTGAACTTTGGCATAATTAATAAAAACAGTAATTCAGTAAGTCTGCTTCTAAGGTATGTTGACCTATCTGCGAGAGATGAAAGTATTTACACGCCATTAGAATTAGCTTGCAAAACTTATAGTGATAACTATCTAGAAATTATAGAAATTTTACTTTTAGCTGAGCAATCAGATTAGAAATACATTCCCATCAACCCATTGAATAAGAAATGCCATCTAATTTATATGATAAAGAAAGATATACCTCTGAGAATAATCAATCAAACCCTTGCCTTGTTCAATAAAAAATCAATCAGTGAGTATAGAACAAGAGAAAATTCAAATCTTCTTCATAGAGCAATAATGAAGGAAAACATAGACTTAATTAGAGCTTTACTTTCCTATTTCGACTATAAATCTTTCTTTGAAAGATCAAGTAATGGAGCATATCCTTCATTAGAAGCATAGAAGTCATCAAATTTGGAAATCAGAAGGATAGTATAAGACTACATTAACTACAAGGAAGTGTAAGAATTTATGGAAAATGAATGGAAAAATGATCCTACTGTGCCCGAAAAGCTGCTATTATTAAAAAAGTAGTTATTTTATCAGGAGTAAGAATCTTAAATTCAAAAGTTCAGACACTCAATAACGCAGATAACTTATAAGGCTAAAAGACAAAAATCGCTAATCAAACCTTAGCTAATTAACTATGATGATTTCAAAACAATTCTTGAATTTAAATCTTTGAATCATTTTTAATAAAAAGCAGCAGTTGGTTTGCATAGATTTAACACAATGAAAGTTTCAGAAGACTCAGCTGTTCTACATAAAAGGCTTGAAAGCAATCATTTATCTTCAGATAAATCGAAGAAAGAAAATTTAATTGGATAAAATCCCCAAAAGGTAAATTATGAAAGGAAAAATACAGTGTTTCACTATGAGTAGTATAGGTTCTTCACGAACACAAATTGTAAATATATGGGGGAGGATATTGCCCTAGAGTATTGTAAAAACTAGGAAAAGCTATTTTCTATGATTTTTGAATCGAAAAAAGTTATTCAACTATAAAAGTATTAAGTGGTACCTCCAAGCTAATTATTTTTGGGATCAAAAATCATTGATAATGCAGATCCTGTTTTTATTAAGAGTAGGCCAAAACAAATTAGAAGTAAGCCAGTCAATCTTAATCCATATGAAACTATTCAACATGAAAGATCACCTTCAGCTATAGGTTTAAATAAAAAAGATTCCTCATCTCAATAAGAATCAGCGAGTGGCAATATGATAGTAACGAGTATTTAAAACTACTTGAATAGAATGCTTCATAGAAACAACGAAATAGTTGATGAAATATCTGATTTCATAGGGCCTATAATTTCAGAGTTGAATAAACAAAATGTCAAGTATAATGATATGAAATTAGAAGAAGCTCTAGACCCAAATAAGATGACTATTGGATAGAAAAATGAATATGAAAAACATTAAAAATAAAAGTAAAAGGTATTCAAGCAGCTTGCTAAGGATTATTCAAACAAATTAAAGAATCATTCTATAGCAAAGAAGTTGGAATCATAAGAGTAGAATGATGTTGATAAATTACTCATTAATGTTGATTAATCTCAAGATAGACCTAATACGACATTCTAGAATTATTCGAATGAAAATATTAGACTAAAAGCTTCATAGAACGAATCACTAGGAAACTCATTAGAAAGGAGAAAGGAAACTTCAGAAGAATTCACTGAAGGAAGTTTTGAGTTCAATAGATAAATTTCCAGATAAACTCAAATTTAAGTTGACAGCTTACAAAAAAATAAAGTTGAAACCCCGATTAATAAATATAAAGTATGAGAAATACAAAAAAAGAAAACTCTAAACATAGAAAATAATAGTAGCAAAGGCACCCTAAAGCATTAGAGCACGATGAAAGTAAGGGAAAAATCTCCTTAAAACTTAGTTCCCTTTTCTCCGCCTATCGGCCAGAAGTTAAAGAATTAGAAATCATTGTAAAAGCAAAACTCAATGAACAAAAAGCCGTCGAGATAAAATACTATTAAATAAAAAGCAGCTCTTAATAACTCTAATTAACCAGTTTAAACCCAGAAAGTATCATCACCTTAGTTGAGAAGGAGTACTCTGAACCCACAAGGAGTTTCGAATGTAAGGATTAATCTTCATGCTTTAAGATAATAAGACTCCCCTTCTTCTGATTCTTATTCAAGTGATAGAGATAAGGATAAATTAAACAAGGATGGACTAGTTAAAACTGACTCGCTTGACATATCTGAATAATAAAAAGAAATCATGATATCTTATCGAACAAACGAGGAAGAAAAATTGGATGAAAGTAAAGACTAAATCAACGATATATTAATATCTGGAGAACTCATCTAGGATCCCTTCAACTTTGAACTAAATAAAATAGATGAGGTTTCACAAATGCTAGAAAATGCTAGCCCATAAATATCGCCATCTGAGAAGGCGTTTTTCAGAAAAGAATTAAATAATAAAGATGAAAGTAGCAAACTCGTGAGTTAACAAGTTAGTGACAATCAAGGGGTAAGCAACTTCATTAGGCTGTAAAGAACAGAAAATGAAAATTCTACTGAAGAGGACATACTCAGATAAGACCTAGAGACACCAATGCTTGAACTTACCTCATAGACCAAAACACCTCAATTAGATGATAATGAACCATTAACAAGGGTGCATCATGCTAAAAATGTTGTATCAGATGACATTAATCGCAAAAATTTCCCAAAAACTGACCCAGCTACTTAGAATCATACATAAGGGAGGGGCTTTACAAATTAGCTAACAAAAGCAATAGAACTTGACAATTAATTCTAAAATAGACTCTATGATACAGTAGGACCGAACAGTCAGGAGAAGCAAAAATAACGAATCAAATTATTTGGATCCATAAATTCCAATAAATATTTGGAAAATATCAAATACAACATGACACCTAACAATTATAATGATGATAAAAAATCAATGTTTAGTGGCACAAGTAATATGGAGCAAAAAATAGAAATGAGATCGTTTGTTAAGAATAAAAACTCCTCCATTCAACAGTCAACTATGAGCAATTATAATTAGGGCGCTAAGAATCTTAATAAATAGAGGCTGCCACCAAAGTATCAAAATAAATTCAAGTAATCAAATGAAAATTTAATACAGTTTGAACCAAGTATTCAGATTTAATAATAAGTATATTCACCTCTAAAATGGTCTCATACTGTGGATAATTTCAAATTTGACAAGTATAGATACAAAGATTAAAACGAGGCTAACATGATAAAGAAAGTCGTTAAGAATGTTAACTTACTGAGACATATGAAAGGTTCTCCATTAAGATTGTATCCAGAACTTTTTAATTAGTAGAGTCAGCAATTAAATTCAGGGTATTACTTTACTAGAAATATTTCAACTAGTCAGTCATAAACTATAAAGAGATTTGACATGCAAACTTTCAATTCTCTTCAAAACAAAACCCCAAGCCTAAATAATTAGAAAGAGATGCTTAGACATATGAAGAAATCACTGATAACAAATAATATGGTAAACTATAAAAATGGTTTAATGCTAGGCAAAACTTAAAAATATGTTCCTGTATAAGTAGATTAAACAAGCAATTCTATTCTCTAGGTGAATGGAAGGACTACTAAGCATTCTATTTTAGAGGAGGCTAATTACGATTATTACATTGACTACAAATATACTCTGACCAATACTCTAAAAAAGAGTTAGAAGTCTCAAGGAAGTCTGCTTCTAAAGAATAATAAACCACTTTCAAGAGACGGAAAATTAAAAATTATTGATGAGGGTGGCTCTAAATCAAGGAATTCAAAAGTAGAGCTTAATAATAATCTAAATCCACAATAATAATCGAATTCAATAGACGGTAATGATACGTATAAAAGTAAGCGAGATTTGAATAATACTAGAAGGAAAATTGTGTATACATTGAGCACAGATAATACTCCAACTGAGTCCCCATTAAGAAATCAGAGAAATATGAGACCCACTTCATAAGAGGTAATTCTTGAAACAGCACTTCTAAGTAGTGCTCCGAACTCAAATGCTGAGGCTGTAGGATTGCTTACAAGTATCATAAACTCTGATGAGTATTATGAATTTTTGGACAATAGTCATTAGAAATTTTTGGATTAACTTCACGCTTATCCTAGCATGAAAACAATTCTAAATAAAGATAAGATTTATTACAAAAGATTGAAAAACTCAAGAGTAGAAGTGCCTATTATCCTCGATAAAGAGATAAATAAGGAATCCAGCATTAGTTGAATATAAAATAATCAATATGGATTATCAAATTTAAAGATTTAAACTTGATTTCATGATTCTTCAAATAACTTCAAATTTTGTTAAAAGGGGTTTTGGGGTTTTGGGGTTTTGGGG